CTCACGGATTCCAATGCCTATTGACATTAAAATAAGAAAAGTAACCTATATGCAGAAAGAAGGTTGTATTCCCATTAACATTCATGAGGACCGAGCAGCTGAAGCCCTACACATCAAGTAGGGAATATATCCTTTGTCTACTGATGAGAAAATGTCTTCGTGATAAATGGTTACAGACAGGGGTGTCACGAGGGCAAGAGCACACAGAAGAGCTCCGACAAACTTTTTTTTTTCTTTCTTATAAGCCTTCTGCAGTTCTTTTTGTAGCGTTGTGGAGCACAGTGCTTATCCCTTCAAATAAAAGAATAATATTGCAATGTGGAATTCTTAACCTTTGCTGAGGCACTTCCCAGAAAACCAAAAACATACCCTTTGAAAACAATCTAAAACAAAGCTTCAAAGGCTTCATGATGTAAAACTACTCAGACATTATGAAAAGAAGTATTCTGCACTCTATGCCCGGACCATTTGTGCTTAAAAATGGATATTGTCATAAGAGTTAGCATGGTCGTCAAAGTGCAATGTCTGCAACGTCAGCGCTGGGAGACATCAGACACATCACTAAAATGCTTTACATGCATTTACATAAATTCAAACACATTATCACCCTCATTTACTACATTTGTATGAAAAATTATACATGAAGTCATGAGTTTGTTATTTAACAAGTATCTCATAGAGCACGACTGTGACTAACAATTGCTTTCGGTTCATTTTCAAAACAAAGTAAGTTAGGTTACAATTTGCTGACAGGGCTCAGGGGCAAATATTTTCCGGTGCCTGACTCTACGTGGCTTGCTTTCCTCAACTATAAATGCAAAGACTAATCCCTCCTTCCCCATTTAAGGGTTCCTCGTCTTCTGCAGCAAATTAGAGGCTTCAGCATGAAAAGGGTAATAAACACTAAGCAATTTTCTAAAATACGCAGGGCAACACGGCTTTTGAGGTGTCCTAACCCATCCTAAAGAAAACTCCAGTTGCAGAGCAAGAAGATATGCCCAACGACTAATCCTCAACACTGCCCCCTCAACGACAGTCTTCCTTGCAGCGTGGACGTTGGACCGAAACCCAGCAGACGAGTCTTAAGGGGTCGCGGCGTTGGCTGGCGGCCTCAGCAGGCGGAGCTGCTGGACTGAGAGGAGGCGGCGCCTGGGGAGGATCTGGGGGCGGGGCTGGACGTCGGGCCGCCCCTCGGGCCCCGCGGCGTCCCTGCGCCTGCGCGCCGGGCGTGGCCCTGTGGTTGGACGGCCGGGGTTCAGGGCTAGCCGTGCGCCCCCGCCTCCGCCTCCTCTCCCGCCCCTTCCCACCTCCGCCCACTTGACGCGATGACGCATCGCAGGTTTGCGGACGGGGCGGACGCGGACGTCCCGGGAAGGCGGGGCGG